CCTCTTCCTTTCTCTCCTCCCTCCTCCCTCCTCCCTCCTCCCTCCTCCCTCCTCCCTCCTCCCTCCTCCCTCCTCCCTCCTCCCTCCCCGTCTTCTCCCCTCGCGCCCCCCGGACTTCCCCCCCCCCCCTCTTCCTTTCTCCTTCCTGCCCCCCTCCCCTTTTCCCCTTCCTCTCCCCCCCTCTCCTCCCCCCTCCCCGTCCTCGCTACCACATTCCCTTCGAGCCATGCAAGCTTCACTCGTAGTTGCATTGCTCTTCATCCGATCCTCTCACGCGATGATCTCGGGCCTTCATACGAAAGCGGTCATGCCAACAATAATCGATCGGAGGGACGAAAGTCGCGCAGGGGGGTTTGAAGAGACCATTGTGTTCCTCCATCACAACTACGATGAGCGATCCAGAGTCAAGGTAGTCGGCTCATGGTCAAACTGGACGACCCTGCACCCCATGGGCTACACAGGGAGCAGCTGCTGGCTCGTCAACCTTGAGCTCAGCCCAGGTCTGCATGAATTTCGGTTCGTGGTGGATGGAAGGTGGGAGCTCTCTATCGCGCATCCTTCCAAGGTTTCGTATGCTCGACAGGGTGAGTTTGTTGCGCAGCGACTTCATTCCTCACTGTTCTGCTCACAGTCTGTAGTATTGGCCGCCATCAGCTCCCGAAGAGAAGCAATTATGTTGTGATCCCCGACATCGTTGGACCATCGGCGATGTTGCAGCCCTCTGATGTAACAACCACCTTGCCTTTGGTGTTGGACTGAGTTTTTTCCTTTCAGAAACAGCACACAGCAAGTTGTGCAAGGCCGAACATACTCGGATGGCTCAACATTTCCAAGAACAAGATAATGATATCCATCATCTTATGCCTTGCCGTCGGGCTCTTTTACTTGATGCCGACGGCCTCTCTCCTGCTGAGGGATTTTATAACACTCCTTAGCAGTCAGTTGCCGGATATGAGAAGACGAAGCTTTCAGGATGCCAGCAGAGCGAGGGGAGAAATCAATCTGACGAGGAAAAAGACATCCGAACCTCCAACCGTCCTTCCAGCGAGCGAGGAAAGGCCCAACCTCCACGAACCTCCTCGTCCAAGGGGCGATGTGGAGCAGCCGAACCCCCCGGGACCACCACTTGGAAGGAAGGAAGAGATTTCAACTTCCTCTGCACCCGTCAAGGTTGATCCGGCCGAGAGGTCGCACACAGACAAAGTTCAACACCAACGAGCAGAAACAAGCTCTGGCAGTAGACAACAAACCCTAACAGGTGCAAGCGACTCAGAAAATTCTCCGAGTTTGTGGGCAGAGTTGTGGGCAGTGGCCACGAGCGTAAGTTGATCAGGGCTGGAAGAAAACTAGAGCTGTAGCAACAGACAAGAAGCATTGTATACACCCAAGGTCAAGTTTGCTTGCCATATTTGTAGATTATCTCACTCAAAATAATAATGAAAAGTAGTCACATTCATTTCAGTTTCGAAGCGATCCAGTCCAATCCTTCACGATGCCCTTCACCTGTCAGAGCGCACGCTGCTTGGATGTGCCATTCGTGCGATCTGATGCTGTGCAAGAGTAGACTATCAGAGATCTCCACCGCCGTCATCGCATCCTATCATGCAAGTCAACATCAAGATCGCTTACAAGCAAGACAACCCTCAGATCCTGCTTGTTTGCAAGAATTAAGATGACTGCCTTCTTGAGATCTTCGTGCGTTAACAAATTCCTCAATTCATCCCGCACAGAGGAGATCCTGTCTCTGTCTGTGCTGTCCACGACAAGAATGATTGCATGCGCGTTGACATAATACGAGCCCCATGATGGCCGCAATGATTCCTGGCCACCAAGATCCCAGCATTCGAACCTAAGTCACAGGATGAGATGTAAAGAAAGCACGACAGTCAGAGGTCAACCGAATATTGTTATGAACAACTTCTTCCACGTTGCTCCCGATTGTTGGCTGAGTCACAACAACATCTCCAAGATTTAATCGATACAACGTTGTCGTCTTGCCAGCATTGTCCTGTATCGGAACAAAAGGGAGTCAATATCAAGATTAGATGGCTCAAAGCTTACAACGAACCAATCCAATGATGATGATCTTGTAGCTTCCACTTGAGAACAATCTTTCCCACAGCTTCGAGAAAAGAACCCCCATCTATCAACTCGACGAAGAACTAATCCTCAATCCAATCAAGGTAATCTCTTGAGAACATCTTGATGGGCAAGCCCGGCAAGTAACCTGCATATTCATGTTGTCAGATGCTAATGTATACCTCCAAATAATTCCTGTCATCAGACAAGCCTGCTTCATTGACATCTTCAATCATGCTTCAAATATCCTTGCCCTGATGCAAATATTTTCTGCAAACCAAACTCTCTCACTCTGACTGCTCTTGTTTCTGCTATAGTCTCTGCCTGCCTCTCAGTCATCGTCTCTATCACTGCCCGACCCATCCACCATCGACCTCGAACCCAGCATCTCTGTCCTGCGCTGTTTCACTGCCTGCCCTCGTTGTCACTGCTTGTGTCTACTCCACTGCTTCCTCCTACAATACTTTCACTCCTTTCCCAGTTCCCCCTCCTACTCATCCTCCTCCTCCTCTCCCACCCGTGTAATGTGTGCTATTCCCAAACACCAGGTACCCCACCCCTCCAAACATCTCCATCGTTGCTAATCAAATTTTACTCATCGAATCCGATGTTACAAATGAGGCGGGCCTGGACCTGGAGCCGCATCACAGGAGACTCTCCGTCACGTGACAGCCCGGGAAGGCTTCAGCCAGGGCCCGGCCCACGGTCACTGATCCGATCCGAGTGACTGATCGGGTGACACAGGCTTGGCAACTTTGAGGCTCTCATCGGCCGGGCCCGGTCGGATGCCACATCGCACTGTGCGGCATCATCCGATGATCCGGATCACCCGGCCAGGCGACTGACCAATCACGGATCGGACTCAGTGGGACCGGGGACTGGACGCCCGGACGGCCGGGCCCGGGGCCGCGCGGCACGGTCCGCCGCCCGGCCCTCCGCGACTCAGTGAGCGGCGGGCCATCGTGTCCGAGCCCGGGCCTGAGAGCCGCCTGCGTGACTGCGGTAGGCTTAAGTATCGGAGCCCCCGACCGTACGGTCGCCGCCGGCCCGGCGGCGCCGGGTGGCCCAGTGGCCCGGACCGGGACGTCCCGGCGGGCCGGACTCGTCCCGGCCGCGCCCGGATGCTGAGCGGGGATGAGGGTTGGGGACTGTTCCTGACAGATTCCTACGAAGAGGTACCAGACACCGGGGGTAGGGCGCTACTCCAGTAGGGTGGTCATGGATGTAGGGTACTTTTCCACAGCGAGATAGGGGTACTCATTGATGGGTAATGTTTTAGGAGGGTAGGGTACCCTCAGTTTGATGAGTCACCACCACACAAGGGTTGTATGGATAGATTGGACGGGGTGGGTGGTCCTGTAGGGGGGGTGCATACACTAAAGTAATTGTTGAGGGTGGGTGTTGGGTACGGTACTTGGTAGTACTTTGTAACAGAGTACCCCTCCTGGTTACTAACCATGTGGCTTTAACACACAATCATGTCTTTTATCCCTATCCAGGGTGGGTCAATCACCCCACCCCCAATTCGAAAATTGATCACCCCTACCCTCATGACCTACCCACATTAGAGCAGTATCCCCGAATTCAGCGAGGCACCATGGCTGGGGTTGAGAGGGCAGAGGGGCGATGAATGGGTAGATCATGGCGTTTTCGTCTCCCCTCCCCTCCTCCTTGAAGAGCGATCGTAAGTAAGGATCCCTCTGCTATCTTGCCCTCCTTCAGCCGAACTGTACGTGGAGTTTGCTGCCATGGACAGCTGATCTGGGGTTCCGAAGAAATTTCCCGGGTGATAGTGAGAATTGTTGCAGCTGCTTGAGATTGTCCTGCACAATGTTCGAGAAGTTCTTCGTTGCCCTCGTGGAAAAGTATGTTGCTCCCTTTGCGGAAGTTGATCGTGATCAGCTCAGCGTTGCAGTGAGGGAGGGGAATGTTGTCTTACATGACGTGAAACTGAAGAAGTCGGCCTTCGATGACCTGGCCATGCCCCTCACCGTTAAGGAAGGAAGGATAGGTGAACTACGGATTGATGTGACGTGGAAGTCTCTCCGTCTCCACCCGGCCAAGATCCACGTCAAGGACGTTGAGCTGGTCCTGTCCCCCCTTGGGATAGACGCGTCAGCAAGCGTCCGAAGTGAGCGGCAGCGTCAAGCAGAGATAGAAGAGCTGCTTGTGGACGAACAGATCCGCCTGATGCGATCTCAAGGATCGAAAGCTCCCACCTTGCAGGAGCAGGCGTTTGTCGTGAGGCTTGTCTCCTCCATCATGAACGTGGTGGACTTTTCTGTGACGGGGGTGCACGTACGGTATGAGGACAAGCTGACGGATCCTAGTCGAACGATCTCCGCTGGGATAAGGATCTCGAAAGTGGAGTTTTGTTCGGTTTCTTCTTTCGCAAACGTGAAGGCGGGAGATGTGAAGATTGTAGATTCCGATTCGAACCTCAAGAGTCTCAACATTCAAGACTTCTCAGTTTATTGGCTCAGTGGTGGTGACAGCGCACCGTGTAATGGCAGCAGCAACAAAGCTTCATTAGACGAGTTTCCTGGTAAGAAAGTTCACACCAACCCTGATCTCGCATCGCTGAACAATCTGCTGCAGTCGTGTCAGCTTTCAACTTGCATGTCAATACAGTCCTTAACAGGCAGTCGAAATCTCTGAAGGGATGTCCACGTATCGACTGCCACTTCATGATGGAGCCAGAGGTTGACATCAAGATTGACTGTAATTCAAGACTTGCGGTGTTGTCGGCAGGTTCTGATGGAAGTGGGTTGTAGGTGGCACCATGTTGGACGTCTCGGCTGTGGTCGATGCTGCGATCCTTCACGCGAATCGCTCCAGGATCACACGGGAAAGGCCTTCATCTAGGTGAGAGAATGGATTGAATGCTCTCTGAACTTGTGGAGATGATTGTTGGGACCATCTTGACTTGTGATGTGGTTTCAGCATTCGAGGTCACTGCCGTGAGTGGTGGATGTATTCGTTTTCGTGTGTTGTGGACAGCTTGAAACAGCGGAAAGCAAGCTACAGGAAATCGAGCGTCCTCTCTATCATTCGTGATGGGAAGAAATATCGCTCTTGCTTCCAGCGCTTCTTGATGAATGACTTAGAGGAGGAAGGCCTTGAGGAGATGCGGAGACTCGAGAAGTCACTACCCCTCATCACTGTTATGGCGCTGAGAGGAAGGATAGAAGAGATCTGCGAGAAAGAGCTCCGCATGATGTCTCTGAAGAGCAAGGAGGCGAATGTGACAGGCCCGAACGTGTTCAGAGAGCTCCTCAAGGGTTGGAGGAAGAACACTGACGGGTCGTCGTCTCTGATGATTGCTGGAGTCGACTTGACCGTCTCGGAGGAGGAGCTGTGTGACTTCTGCAACGCAGAGGATGGGACGAAGTTCAACGACTTTGAAGGGGATGGAGCAGGAGACCCTTCTTTCTCTGTGAGGCTGCATGCGGGGGCCATCAGGATGAGCCTGAGTGACGTGAAGAAGCTGACGGGGGAGGACGGTGCCAAGGACGGCATCATCTCTACCGCTATCATCTCCGACGTGAGCTACAGCATCGTAGGGAAGGCGAGCGAGAAGATCGGAGCGTGCGGGGTCCCCGTGAAGATGCAGCTCGAGATCTCGTCGGTGGAAGTGAAGGACTTGGTGACGGCAGGGACGTCGTTCCCTGTCGTGCTGTCTCAGGGGAGGTGCTTCAAGGGAGAGACCCGGCCCTTCCTCGGGGTCGTCTACGAGGACCGGCATGACGACTGTGCCCTCCTCAATATCGTCATGGGCAAGGGCCTCTGGATCTATAGCATGCAGCTTGCCAGGAGAATCAGCGCACACCTCAGCATCTGCTGGAAGGTCGACATGCGAGCAGCGACCGGGCTGATCAGCAGGATGGCAGCGGCCTCGGTCGATCAGCAAAGGATGCTGGCGCAGAATCTGATCCGGAAGGCCGTGGAGACCAGGTCCCCTCTGGACATGTCTTTCGACATCAACCTGCCGTTGATCGCAGTCCCGCAAACTTGCTGCCCCGATTCCAGTGCCCCCTCGTCGACGGTCCTGCTCCACTGCGGCCGTGTCAAGGTCGCCAGCAGCATCGGCCCGTCGGCCTCGGGAGGAGGAGGAGGAGGAGAGTACGACAAGTACAGCATCGACTGGGAGGACATCCTTGTGTCCACCTGCTCGACCAGAGACAAGTGGGAGGAGAAGTCAGAGGCCCCGCTCCTCTCCCTCCCCAGGATCTCGTGGGTGGTTCAGATGTCTGTAGCTCGTCTCGACTTGAGCCTGACCCAGCTCAAGGTCGAGCAGACCTTGTGCGGTGCTCGCGTCTTCCTCCGGTCCTCCTCCCTCCGGCAGGCCACTGCTGTGTGGGTTCAGGTGAACGGAAGGAACGCGACTGTGGCTCCAGCCAAGTTGGAGGAGCAGGAAGTGTCTACCATGGTGAGCTTCGCGTACGGAGGGTTCCAGATGCTGGAGCAGGGGTGGGAGACGATGAGGAGGAGGGAGCTAGGGCTGCTGCAGGACCTCTACCAGGACCGGGAGCAGAGGATAAAGGCCTATGCGGGATGGTCTCGTGTGGAGTACCGGCTGGAGGTGGATGGACTGAGGTGTGAGGTGATGGAGGATGAGCGAGGGAAGGTCAATCAGCCCCTCGTTGAGCTCGGACTCGACGGCCTCGAGCTGGCAGCTCAAGTTAACAGTCTGGACGCGTCTGTGCGCATGAAAGTGTCCGACTTGTACATCAAAGACACGATGCAGGTATGAATGAAGAGGAGGAAAGATAGGAAAGGGAGTTGGGGGAGGGGGTTGGGGAAGGGTGAGGTGGGTGAGAGTGGGAGGGAGGTGGAGAGATGGAGGGAGGGAGGAAGATGAAAGAATTATGTGAGAAGAAAATGGGTCACTAGATAGTCAAGGGAGGGAGAGCAATGGTATAGAAGATGAGGGAGGAAAGAACCAGGAGCGATCGAGAGTATGAGGTCAGCAGCGGGGACCTGAGACTTCACTGCAGAAGTTTGGGAAAGACTACCTTTACATCCTTGGCAGCTCGGTCCAAGACAACAGGTGCCGTCCCGTGT